GGCTGTCACAGAGAAGAGGGGGTCAACCTATTCTCCAAAGCACCTGAGGGCAGGACAAGAGGTAGTGGGTGGAAGATTATCAAACAGAGATCCAACCTAGAATTAAGGAGAAATTTCCTGACAGAGAACAATTCTTGCTTGCCTCAAGAAGTTTGGATGCTCCATCACTGAGGGTTTTCAAGAAGATACTGGAAAACTGTTTGTCTGGAATATAGGAACTCCTGCTCTAGCAAGGGGTTTGACTAGAAGACATTCAAGGTCCCTTCCAACCCTGTTATTCTATGTTGTAAAGAATTACAAATATTCATTAATACCTAAAACCTTAGCCTGAGTATGTATTATCAAATGAAAACCAACTCTAGAGCTTCATTTACATGGACTAGAGAAGGAGTTTTGCAGTGTCTTGAAGAATTCCCCATTTTGCAAAACTACAATAAAATACATCATACGTATAGTTTCTGAATATTTCTAGAATACATTTTGACTTCTTTTCCATAGTTTGGAACCACAGTGTGCTGTGTAGTGTAAAAACAATGACTGAGGATTTTCACCATTTATCTTAGTTTTCACACCACCTTGGTATTTCTCAGAAAAGTTTGAAGCATTATATTCTTGGACACATATTCTTCCAATCCTTTCTGCAGTATCCTTTCTTTTTATTGCAATTCACTATTTTCAGGAGGAATTCAGGAGGAATTTCATAAGTAATTTCTTTTCTCTTTCTCCTCTGAAGACAAAAATATCAACTCTTCAACAGGAGAGAGACTTCAATAGTCTCACAATAATGACCTCATAGTATTACAGTACTTCTGACCAATCCAGGATGTGATATACCACCTTCTTAGCACATATCTCCAGTAATTTATTCTGCTACACAAGGGTATGCATAGGTCAGTGATGGCGAACCTTTTAGAGACCGAGTGCCCAAAAACTGGCCCTGCCTCTGCTCCACCCTCTGCCCTGCCCCCCCATCCCCTGCCCCGCCTGCCCACAGGACCACTCACCGCCTCCAGGGCCCGCTGAAGATCGCCCAGGTAGCCCAGCAGCGCTATGGCGGCCACACCCTCTGCCCGCACCCTACAGCATCAACTGCATGATGGGCCGTGAGGGCAGAGTCTTATCTATACTGCCTGGCTGCCATGTCCTTGGCTGCGCTGTTCCATGTGGGCCACGCTCGAGGGCGACTCTCCTTCAGGGGGGCTGCTGGAGAGGAGGGCATCACAGGGGGAGGCAAGGCTGGGGCAATGGCACGTGTGCCCACAGAGAGGACTCCGAGTGCCGCCTCTGGCACCCGTGCCATAGATTCGCCACCACTGGCATAGGTAGTCCTTGACATTATGAACACAATTGAGCCCCTTTGCTAAACAAAGTAGTTAAGTGAGTTGTGCCTCACTTTATGACCCTTTTGCAACAGTTGCTAAGTGAATCAGTACAGTTAAGTAAATCATGCAGTTCTTAAGCGAATCTGGATTTTGTGATCACATGACTCCAGGACAATGCAACTGTCATAAATACAAGCCAGTTGGCAAGTGCTCAGATTTTGATCACATGACTATGGAGATGCTACAATAGTTATAAATGAAAAATGGTCATAAGTGACTTTTTCCAATGCCAATGTAACTTAGAATGGTCGCTAAATAAATGGTTGTAAATCAAGCGCTACCTGCAATATTCATCTATTCACTGTCTCTTCAAATTTTTAAATTTCAAATTTTCAATTTCATAAGATTCAGGTTAAAACTTCAGACTTTGATGCCTTTACTAATCAATTTTATGATGGAAATGAACAGCCCACAATCATCATGCTGTTCTACTAGTTTCATCCCTGGAATGTGATTCCTAGAAAGACAAATTTTGTTCTGTCACAAACAGAATCAAAGCCTTGCAACATTTTACACTACTGTATTTCTCCTTCTCCTTTTCTGATTGCATATGCTTTTCAAGAAGTGGCTTATTTTTCAAGGACATTTGCAAGATCTTTTTACTGCCAATAACTTGAAAATGACCTTGTCCAGGGCCTGGACTGTCTTTGCTTCACTCCCCCAAGTCTCCTCTTACTCTCCTCTTATCACAACTCACTCTGGTAACATTCCCAGCTACTAAGCCCCTCTTAATTTATCCACCTCCAATGTTTTCTAGGACATACAAAATTAGAAACTGTGGAAATGAGTTCTGGAGGGTGAGAGGGAGGCTTCTTGTTGAGGGCCAAGAGCAGGTTGCCTGTGCTCACCCTGGGAAGTGCTGCTAATCTGCTGTTACAAAAATTTCAAAGAGATAGCATTCACACAACATGGTAAACCCAACTATAGTTTGTCTGCACAGGGATTCCCAATACTTCTGAATCACTGGGAAAAAGTTAAATTTTGAGAACACTCTGTAGTTATTCATGGTTGCTACAAAGAGCTTTTTTCTGGTCTTGTCATTCAATTGTATCCAATTTTTGGAGTCTGTCTGGACAAGTTCCTGCACCTTTCTTGGCAAGATTTCAGAAATGGCTTGCCATTGCCTCCTTTCTAGGCCTGAGAGTGAATGGCTCAAGGCCACCCAACTACCTTAGCTTTGTGCCTAAAGCAGGATTAGAATTCCCAGTCTCTAGCCTGATGCCTTAATCACTACATTGAATTGGCGCTTTATCACAAAAAACGGAGGCCAGGCATGTCAAACTGCTGGCCCAGAGGCCAGATGCGTCACACTGAAACTGCACCCATCCCATTGCTGGCAATGGGGAAAAAGTCCCGATACGTCGCACGACATCATGTGACATCGCAAGTTTGACATGCCTGACATAGGCTGTTACAAAAGTTTCATTACCAGAGGGCAAACTTTGGAAGCTTATCCATAGTCCTCCCTTTGGCCACTGCAGTTCTACCATCTCAGCTTATCATGGTCTTTGTGTGAGGAAGCAGAGTATTTGCAATATGACTCCTGAGTATATTTTCTCAGCATTGTTAATGTTTAGAAGATGTCTCTACTATCTATGTGGGATTTTTGGAAATAAGAGACTTCACTTATAATTGCACTCTTTGCCTTGCAGCATGCTTATTTTATTTTTTATTGTTATTAAAAGAAACAAAAAATATAACAGAGGCACAGAATTTGATAGATGTCAGTGGAGAAACTGAAAAGCATATTGGTACTCCTTGTCATCATGATAGGAGACAGGTGATTTAGTATGCGCCCCTTTCTGGATCGGGACGCCCTACGCACGGTCACTCAAGCCCTCGTTGTTTCCCGCCTGGACTATTGCAATGCTCTCTACATGGGGCTCCCCTTGAGGTGCACCTGGAGGCTCCAGCTAGTTCAGAATGCGGCTGTGCGGGGGATTTTGGGGGCCTCTAGATGCTCCCATGTAACACCTCTCCTGCGCGAGCTGCACTGGCTGCCGGTGGCCTTCCGGGTGCGCTTCAAGGTGTTAGTAACAACTTTTAACGCGCTCCATGGCAATGGACCTAGGTATTTGCAAGACCGCCTCCTACCAAATATCTCCCTTCGACCAGTCCGCTCCCACAGAGAGGGCCTCCTTAGGGTACCGGCGGCCAGCCAATGCCGGCTGGCGACCCCCAGGGGGAGAGCCTTCTCTGTGGCAGCTCCTGCCCTCTGGAATGACCTGCCCCCCCCCCCGACCTACGTACAATTGAGGACCTGCGCCTCTTCCGCCGAGCCCTGAAAACTCATCTGTTCCATGCGGCCGGCCTGGCGTAGTTTTGATTGGGTTTTGTTAGGGGTTTTATATTTTAGAGCAGGCTTTTATGTAATATTTACTGTGATTTTTATTATTGCCTGTTCACCGCCCTGAGTCCCGTAAGGGAGATAGGGNTTGCTGTTTGAAATCCGAGGCATAACAAATCAGAATAGCACAAACTGGTGCCGGGTGTAAACCTGGCATTGAAACAAGCAAGCGGTTGCTGACAGGATGAACTCAAAGTGCGCAATGCTAAACAAAGCCCCTTGATGTCTGGTGTTCCTCCGACCTAACGCTGCATCCTTCCTGGCAAAGCTGCAACGAAGCTGCAATCACCAACACGTTGTCGTAGCAGAAGCTGTCCTCATGGAAGCCAGGCGCCCACGATACGAAGCGGGAGGGTGTTAACTTCCGGCTGCTAACCGCGGGAAAATCAGGCTACAAAGAGGTGGAGATGATGTTGTCAGCTACTCTTTGAATTGGATGGTGGGATGTCCACGACTGAGACGAAGCTGAAACATCAGACTGTGCAAAATGGCTTCCGTCTTAAGCAGAGCTGAACCACAATCGCTTTTGCTGCCTCCTGCAGCGTTTTGAGCAAAAGGCGAGAAGATTTTAAAGTACAGTAGATACGTTACAGAATGTAGCTAGGAACCTATTAAGAGCTACATCTATGTCAAAACCAGGAACACCAATTAGTTCTGCCCCATCAAATTTAAATGAACAAGTGGATAATTTAACGTGTTAAGTAACATGCTACGCACGTAACTCAGTGCACGCTTACTCGGAAATGTCTCGTATAGGATCACTGCTGAATCTCGCAAAGGAATTGCATCCTTTATTCTTACATTTGTACCCATTACTGGTAACGTGGGTTAAGAGAATTTCAGAAAAAAAATGTGTTTCCGTTTTGCTGGCATTCAAAGATCCTCATCTCTCCTAATCAAAGGGTAATTTTAATTTAGTAAATTGAGTATATTTAGAAAATTATAGCCCGCAATTATTTCCCGAAGAAATCGTTGTGTTTGAACCAGAGGAATACTAAATATCAAATCTAAATTATAACCTACCATTTACGTTTCTTCTTTTTCTTTTCATGCATCACTATACCAAATAAGTAAAACTCTTTAACTGCCTTGTTACTGTAAACTTGAACGGAATTTACCGTTTAGTACAGAACAAAAAAAAAAAAATGCCCACGACACTTAGGAGAATATTTCCCAGCATACTTTGCTTCACAAAACTCGCCTGCTCTGCTTTCAGTTGCGTTGTTTCCTGGGAAATATAGTTCTACAGTGCCGGCCGGGCTTCTGAAGCTATTTGTGAGGAGGTGCCAAGATGGCGGCCCTGTGGGGCGGCGGTGCGGGACATGCTGGGGCTGGGGGAACCCTCCCCATGCGAGCTGCCTCGGAGCCTTTGGTGGGCAATAGCTTTTCTTCTACGCAGGTACCGGCCGGTCTGGTTCCTCGGAACTGAACTTGAGAGTTTCATTCAGCCGGGTCGGGTAACGCTAGATGGACACGTGGAAGCGGTGTGTCTGGCATAGGGAGGTGGCACTGGCGGCAGCAGCGGCAGCGGGAACGCGGGCTGCGGGGGCTTTGGAATGGAGGCACTGGGAAGAATGCGGTAGAAAAGCTGCTCAGGGAAAGGAGCTTTGAGAAGCTAAAAAGCGATGCTTTGGCTGCTCTATCCTAGTTGGTGGCCATTTTGCTTGAGCTTCGATACAGTTGGTAATGGTGGACTGGCGGGCTGGAATGGGCGGACGATGTGCGGCAAAATTAGCGTGGTGGAGCAGATGCCCAGGATGGACTATCTGCAGTTCAGGAATTTGGGGCTTTCTGAAGACCGTCTCCCTCGTGGTGCAGGGACAATAAAAGTCGAGAGCTTTAGGCAAATGCAATCCTGGAATCGCTAGGTGTGGCAAGGCGTGGAGTCACACTTTTTGAGTTGTGGAGCATTTCGGTCTTGGTTGGGGTCCTTGAAAAAAGGTGCAAAAAGGAAAGCTGTTTGTAAGATTAGAGTGCTGCTTAATCGAGTCGTGGGTTTCAATTATTGTTTTGAATTGTTTATCAAAAGGGTACTCTTTGTGGCTTTAATTTTTCCATCGACTTTTAAAACTTTCGTTTGGTTTGTCCCCTTCCCCCAACGTGCTAAAAAAAATCCTTAAAGGAATTTAAGGAAGTGGGAGACCGGGGTATATCTAATAGGCTGATGGAGGTGCACCAACTAGAAAGTATTCTCCTATGTAAAAATGAATTCCAGTGCTTTTGCCTGCTTAACTACTCTGTTCTCCCCTCTTCGTTCCTGGGTGTGTTCATATCCTCCCACTTGCTGATCCTGTTCAGCCCCATTTAATGATGCTCTCTCTCAGCAGTTCTTTTTTAATTCTTGTATGTAAAAATCATTTTGTGTGCATAATCCTGAATGCCTTGTCCCCTTTAAATTAATTTTTTTTTAAAAAGTAATTTGCAGCAAAATCATTTCTCTTTAGAAAGCCATTTTAAGAGAAGTCATTTATGGAAACTTACTATACTATTGTACTAGAATGACAAATAGAAATAATGAGCTTGCTGTCTAGCAGTCTGTTCACTTGAAAAGTCTGCTGAAACTCCTGCTCTTCCATGCTTTTTCCTGCTACACATTATCTTCCACTGAGTATGATTGGAGATTGTGCCATAGCCATGAGAAAAAAAGAAAACATTTTGTGTTGCTGTGCTAAATAATAGTTAAATTTAAATGCTAAGTTACCAGTCTTTTGTAATTAAATTAAGATGTAACTCATTCCCTCAGAATACAAAATACTGAGGCTGTTTGATTCACATTCTTAAATAGGTTGGAGCAATAATTCAGTTTTGCCTTGAATCAACTACCTTTTTTGCTGCTCAATACTTTATCTTTGGAAGTTAATATTTTCTGTGCAAGCTTAATATGTTTTGCACAATGGTAAGTTTTTTTTTAATTCTACCCAAGCACAGTCATCTGTTTTCTGCCTGACATCTTCCCAATTCTGTAGGGTCTGATCAGAAGACAAGAGAACGTGGAAAGGAGGGCAGAGAATTAATGTCAATAAAAAGACTTGGAAGTGGGAAAAGAAACCCAGAAAAAAGGGAGCTTTAAAACAAAGCATAGGTATTGTGTTACGCAGCTTGAAAATGGGTGATTTAAAGCTTTAAACAAACTCTTCAGGAGTTTTGTTTGAACAATGTTTAAACTGTATTTTCCTTCATCACACAATTTAAATAATGCTTTTCTTAAACATATTGCAAACCATATTACTATATAAATGTGTTTAATAAATACATTTAGTAATATGTAATATATAGAGTGTCATATTGAAACTTGGCTCAAAGATTGGCTCTTTGGAACTTTTTGGGCTTGTTGAATGTGGTATGATGAATAACAGTGAAGTGCCCCCAAGTTTATGAAACTAAAGTGTTGCTTCTCCCATTTGTTTGCTTGGGGCAGTCTTCCCCTAGCATAGTGCCTTTCAGAGGTATTGGTCTTTCTCTGTTGGGTCACAGACTAATAATTACCGTAAGTAAGCATGAGCTTTGGAAGTTAGAGAACTGGAAACTGGGTACACTCATAAATCTGGATGCCAAAGATGTGAAATGATAACCCTTTAAATTTTGTGTCTAAGATTACATTGGTAATTAGCTGTGAAAGCAAACCAAATGATGGATTTGAGTCTTGTAGTAGTTTATAATTTCTGAAATTTCACTTCAATCATCATTAGAGAGTGCTTTAACTAATCTCATTAGTTTGTAGCAAAGAATCTGAAGCCTCACCTTGTAAAATTTGAAAGAAATTCTTTTGAGTAATTTCACATTCAGTTGACAGAATTAAAAGTAATATTTTTGTACTAGAAAGTATTTTCAGAGAGAGAAATGTAGTGAGCATCTTAATGCCAACTTTAGGTAAATTCATTGATAAACAGTATTAAGGCTTCTTTAGTTTTTCTGTTTTCTACACTGCATTACTTTTATGCCAGAAGTGTAATTATAGTACTTTTTTATTTCACAACAAAATAGTGATGTTCAGATAGTATTCTTTAAGAACACATCTCTTATTCTAGAGATGTCCACTTTCTTTGAGGGATGAGGGAATAGTGGGGGAACTGTATTAGTTCTATCAGCATGAATATTCAATATGCAGCTCCAATAAAGGAGGAGAATATTTGTAGCTCAGGTTGAAATGAGGTGTTCTTGGTGCTCTCTGAGCTTGGTTATTTTCTTGCAGATGTTTCATTAGGTAAACTAGGAAACATCAGTGTAATAGCAGTGCAATACCATTGATGATGTCACCTAGTTTGGGTAATGAAATATCTGCAAGGAAACAAGCTCAGAGAGCACCAAGGACTCCTGGGAGTGCAGCTCTACAAATGTGGCTGAGCATACTCAATAATAAGAAACACTGGGGGATGTACAGTGATGTTTAAAAGTTTGTGAATCCCTTTCAATTTTCAGTATTACTCCATAAATATAACCCCAAACAAGTCCTAAATCTAGATAAAGGGAACCCAATTAAACTAATGGCCAAAAGTATTTATTCATTTATTTATGGAAAAGAATGATCTAAGGCTACATATGTGTTTGTGGCAAATATGTGAACCTTTGCTTTCAGTAACTAGTATCTCCCCCCCCCCCCCATGTTTTTTCTCACAATTTAGCCCTCGGAAACCAATTAAAGCTCAGTATGCCATAGGTAAAAAAAAAGTCTGATGACAATGTGAACAAGTTTTCTCAGCTGTGGTAAAAAAGTGGTTTAGTATTATATTTGCCTTCTCCTCCTGTCCCTGGCTTCCTAGTGTCAGCATGCCAGTATTTAACTGTAAATTCATCTTCAGAATTACAGGAGTAGATGTTAATAACTGCATTAAAATTGATGCTGTTTAAACATTTGTATGTGTATTTTTGAAAGCTTGGTTCTTGTTTGTAAACCTTCATGTTAATTGGGATAACTGGGAGTTGTTCTATCTCATCTACAATGCAACAGGATGAGAGAGACTATTACAGGTTAATCAGCAAAAGAGTATGGGAAGAGACGCAATCATGTCTTGGTCTTCCCAACTTTCTGCAATTAAAGCATCCTGCTTATCTGATTAAAAACTTCAGTGAGCTTCTTCAGTGAGTAATTTGTTTTGCATTGTGCTTGATGACATAGGTGCAGGATTGTAGATAGTCTTGGTTGAAAAAGTTTGCATAAATTGCACATATGGGTCTGATAAACTAGAAGACTATTTTTGCAGAAGAGTAGATTTGAGTCTCAGAAATAGAATGTTTTATTTTAAAAGTCCAGCCTCTAAATCTAAGCTTTTGGGCAGCCTGGATACAAAACATAACACTCCAAAACATCAGGTATTTTGATAATAATGAAAATGAAAGCATTGGTTAAGAAAACTAATGATGGATGAAAATTGTAAAGTTCCCAAATTCTAGAAACTGAGACATGACAAGAACACATCTGGCAGTTGCAAGAACTTGTTTGCCTCCCTCTATTGCTGTTAAGCACAACTAGCATTCAGTTCCTCATTTAACTTGGATACTGGAGGGAGTTATTCTGTGCCCTGGAAGATAATGCTTAATTCACGTTTAGCTATTTTCATTCTTCTCATCTGATTTATTTTTATTGTCCCTCCCTTCTCCTGTATCTTCTCCCTCCAGTGTTTACTGGCAGAGGATTTGCACTTGGCATCTTTGGAAGCAGAAACCATCCTTGAAGCTGGGGAATTCCTGGAAACAATGCAGGACTACTTAGACTCTTCTGTCATTTCCATCATTGAAGATTTCAGCAGTTTGACTGAGGTGCGGTATATTATGTGTGCTTAGAGATGACTTGCTTCTGAATTGCTTTGTGCATGGTAACATAAACCAGGATGGGCTACTGTAAAGCCCTAAAAGAAAGCAAACATAGCTTACGTGGGAGGGGGAGTTCTGTGACGCACAGCAGTGTTTGGTCTATAGAAGATCTACAGTACTTCAGCCTAATAAGTGGTTTTATCTTGAACAGATAACAGTTATATATTGAATTCCTCATATTCACTTGTGTAGTTTTCTCAGCACAATATGAGAGGACATGGTCTTAAAAATGAAAGAAGCCCAGAGGTTGGACTCTTTGACACTTTTCTTGTGCCAGAATCCTGAAACTGAGATGCTGACTATTCAGACTTCAGCTCGTATTTTCCTGGAATGAAAGTCAGAGTTTCTGTTTTTCTGATGCTCTCAATTTGCCCTTGGTAAATTATTAGTATAAAATTGGGGCCATAGAGAAGCAGAATAATAGTTTTAAAAGTATTAGTTCTTGATATCACACTTCAATTTCTGTATTTGTGGAACAGGTTAGAATAGACGTAGGTACTAATTTTTTTTATCTCTACGTTTCAGGCTTTTATGTTCCAATTATTGATTGTTTGATGTTAAAAAGTCTGGGATTTTGACTTCAGAGTCCATGTATCTGATTTCTTTACTATGTAAATTTAAAACAACCCTACCTTTCAGATGTGATGGACAGCCAGGATGATCAATCTTCCATTCTCATGGTTCAATCAGATGGGTACAGTCAACACATGTGAAGATGACTGAGTTGGGGCAGGGTGATTGGGAGCAATAGTGTTATTGGATAATATTTCTACTGTGGCTTGTTCTTCTAATAACAGGTAAAAAGCCACATGGATGCAGAGAATGAACTTTCCCTGTTGACGGCAATAACAGATATTCTTGATAGCACGGATGATGAGACTCTGTCTCCCTTTGACCCTATTCCTGAATCTGAATTGCTAACATCACCCAGAGAAATTGAGAATTCTTCGGTATGATGATATTCAATTGAATGTTAAGTCATCCTAATAGTTATTGTACTTCATCTCTGGAAGGTTAATTAAAAATGGTTATTTATATTTCTTAATATGTCCCATAGTTCTTCAATTAGATTGTATAAGCCTATAATATTTAAAACAACAATTCAAAACAACTAAAACCAATCAAAACCAAGTTGGATCTAATCTAATACAGCATTAACTTTGCCCTTGTAAATATTTGGAATTACTCAGTGGTGGGATTCAAATATGTGAACAACCTGTTCTCTGTGTGGATGCCGCTTCCGGAAGTCCAATCTGAGCCTGGGCAACAAAAAATTAGCTACCAGTTATACCGAACTGGTGCGAACTGGCTGAATCCCACCACTGGAATTACTGCTTTATCTACTCTACTCAACTCTTGCTATAAGCTGCTGAGAGTCTCCTTGAATTACGAGATGGGCAGCAAATAAATTTAATAATAATTTAATAATGTCTGATTCGTATCAAATTAATTTGCATGTTTTCTCTTGAGTGGGATATAAATGATCCTCATATGTTCTTTCTTTGACCTGAAATATTTCCTGCAACATTTTTGTTTGTTTGGATGGTTTACTAACTCAGTACTTTCATCCCGTTAGTAATCTGTGAGGAATTGCTTTCTACTCTCAGTTAGCAGCTTTTGGTTTTCATAGACAAAATCTCAACCGCAGGGTAATATTTATCACCATTGTTGAAAATTATAGAGGCTTCTCCACTTATCAGAGGTGTCTGCAGTTTAATTTTCTCTTTAAATTGCATCCAGATTTATCAAATCTAACATACTGTATTGAGAACTCTGCAGAGTAAGAGTGCCCTCTATTGCTCAAATGTATCTATTTAATATTGTTATGGTGTTTGCAAGGTACATAAGAGATGTTAAAGAACTACCTTGCATCTGATTAAAGATAAGGAAAGATGTTTAATGTGCCTTTGAGTTATTATTTTTGGTATTTCCCAGTCTCAGTATCTCAAACAAGCATGAGGTTTCTTGTATTTTGATGTAATGAAAATGGATCATTACTGTAAGTTGTGTTATTTCCAAACTATTTTTTCCCCATCAGTTTCAGAGATTTCTTAGTTTTTCTCTGACACCCGATGAACAAGACTTACACAATATTGAGGATTTCCAGGAGCCTGGACTGTGCACCATTATGTCAAAGAAGGTGATAATATTTTGTGAAAACAGCCATAGGTGGCTCTAATTGATTCTGCTACCTTTAATTTCTGCTCAGAAAAAGAATCTTGATCAAGATTTGTTGTATGCTCTCTTTTGCATGTAACCTGCTGGGTTAAAAGCTACACTAATATTAAATTCCAGTACAGTAGAAAAGGGTTGCCCAAGTGTAATCTTTATGCTATATATCCCCACGTTTGAGGATTTAGCAGTCATACAAGCTAGTAGAATGAAAGGAGTGGGTATATTCTCTGTTTCAGTCTTTGCGGGCTATGTTTCATAGATATAGTTTAAGCACCCTTTAGTAAAATTGCGGGGTTGTCAGAAATACCTTTCCAACAGTATTTTGGTTACTTTCAGTTGTTTTTACTTTGTTGCATAATCTCTTATTTGATTCGTATTTCCCTAGGTTGAAGCCAGTACTACCGGCATTCCCTTCTCATTATCTTCAAGTTATCCCAAACTTTCAGTTTTTTCAAACAATGTGAGTAACAAAGCATTCTGGGAGGAACAGAAGCTCTTCAAGAATAGAGAACAAGAATCACCTGTGCTACAGAGCAGTGATGGAGAGGAAGAAGAGGTCACACAAGGATGCAGGGAAAGTTTTACGGCAGTTGTGAAGGAGATGGAACCTGAGAGAGACCTTGATGAATGTGATGATCCCTATATCATTGCCGCAGAAAATATTTCCCTTGATGAATTAGTGAGATCAATGCACTCTTACTGCCAGCCCACCCTCACTGTATGCCTGACTTCTGATAATCAGTCCCTTGCTGAGAAGAATCTCACAGGCCCACTTGTCTTAGAAATAATGCCTGATGGTGGAGAGATCATGATGGGAAAAGAATTGCCTGAGCTTGACTCATACAAACAAGATGGGAAGGTAGTTAATGCTATCCTTCCAAACATAAAAGATGGTCATCTACAGATAGAGGACACTCAGAAATCAACAGATAATGAAAACAATACACCTGTGCCTGCCTCAGTGGCTCCAAAAAATGCCTCAAAGAAGGGTCAGGTATCTACAAATATTAAAAAGAAGAAGAGAAAGAAATCCAGAGAGGAAACAAAGTATCACAAGACCATAAACTGCCAACAAGTGTCTGCCTGTCCTCAAATGCAGACCAGGATTGATGCAAAGAAGTCTATGACAGACTCTAGTTTTCAAAAAAAAGAACTAGAGAAAACTGGAAGGAAAAAATTGCTCCTAAATCAAGTATCTCAGACAAAGGAAATGCTTGAAACTCAAGTAGAATGGTCAAAATGTGTGAGGGAGGAAGGATCCAAAAATCCACTTCTGTCAAGCTTAGTAAGTGCAAGGAATGTGCCATATGCAGAGGAGCCCACACAAAATCTAGGGAATGCAGACCTTGTGCCTATAGTCCAGAGGGATGTCCCAGGAGAACCCCATGAAAAAAGCCAGTTCCTCCTACCAATGATTGAAATGTCTAGCTCAGAAACTTCCCAAATGCTCCCTGGTTGCACGACGGATCTTACAGGACAGCCGACCAAGGATACACCTTACTTTGAAAATCAGGAACTCATCTGCCCTCCAAGGGAAACTAAACCTCGGCCTCTCAGTTTGAGTGAATACAGGCAGCGCCGGCAGCAGCGCCCGTCTAATAATGACAGTATCCAGAACACCAGAGAGAACCAGAGTGCCAGCAAGTGGCCCAGCGTTCCCAATTTCCCTACAGAGTTGGCTGACCTTCCTTGCCTGAGAGCTCTGCCACCCACCAAAGCTGCAGCACCTAAACTTGCAAAGGAACCTGAAAAACCTGCCGCCTCCCCCACTACTCTTGCCCCTGATGACAAAGCAAGTGCCATGACCCTTTCCATGCTCTCTTCCGCTACAACTCTGAAACAAAGAGATCCTCCATCTTCGCAGAATGTCTGCGGAGGTTCTCAGTCTCCATCTTCGCGGCTTCCTTCACCTACACCTATTGCTGTAGTGCCTGCTAGTAAAGTATGTGCTTTTTCTCACATTGGGCCACAAGTGCCTCCAGCATTGTCCGTACCTCATGTGCCACCAGCCCGAGATACTTTCCTACCAGCTCCTCCTAACCACTACAATTTGGGCTCATCCCAACCAGCAGGATCTTCATGGTCTCACTTTGCTCTTCTACCAGCTAATTACCAAAGTTTGCCACCACCACCACCTCTTACTGAAGCTTGTTCTCCTGTCTTCCATACAGTCCCCCCCTTACTCCCTCCAACGTGGCCTCCCCCACCTGTTCCTTTGCCTTTTGTTCCAGCCCTGCCTTATGGCTCTGTTGAGTGGGCTCCACTGCCACAGTCTTCCTACTGGTCTGGAATACCAGTGCCACCTCCAGTGTTGCCTATCCCATATGGAGATCAAGGAAGTCTGAGGCAAAGTCCTCAGGTTGGCACTTTACCTGCTTCATCTCTTTCTGATGGATTTCCTGGCCAGCAAAGTACAGCTTTAGCACCAGAGTCCTCCTGTATTGGATTTAAAAACATGGTCAGTGAAAGTCAAAGCCTGCCTGTCCAGATATGCCAAGTAGAAGCTCCTTCAGCAATCAGGGCAGCTCCCAGAAAAATATCTGATCCAAGAAGACAAACACAGCTCTCTACAGTTCAGTCTCAAACTGAAGTAACTTCAAGCAGTTCTCAGTCATTGGAGAAACTGCCTTTGTCACCATCAGTTGATAAGCCTTCAAAAGAAACAGCATCGACTCAGCACGGGAGCAAAAGTTCTGCCCTGCAGTCCTTAGGGGTGCCCCTTCCTGTGCCCCCTTCTCATCAAATACTGGGAGAATCTGCTGGTAAACTGAAGCTCTCAAAAGAAGACTTTCAGCTTATAGAGAAGAACCCTGAACTCTCTGACTTTGTAGAAACTACTACTGTTACTGTGGCTCAGAACAACAAGAAGCCACCAGCAGAGGGACATTCTTTCCTTTCAGTTTCCTTGGCACCTGGAAAACAAAAGGAACCAGCTGAAATCCAATCAGATGTCACAGAACATGCCCTTGTTGCTCCCAATCCCTCAACATTATCAGGGCCCCAGAAAGTACAGAAAAATGGCCATCTTTCCAAGAAAACATCATCATCCATGTGGAAAAACCAGCCTTTCATCAACTCTGCACAGCATAAGCATGATAAAGATCTTTTTCACTCATTTATCAATGAGATTGGTGAGTGTTTGTGTTATTGAAAGTGACTTTACTGAACATGGCTAAGGAATGTTGGCAGTAATATATGGGGTTAAAGCTTAAGACACAAATAGTTCCATTTGAAGATGCTCTGGGGTTGTGCTGTCTGTGAAAGCAATATTCTTCTATTCTCTCTTTGTCCAGGGATTGCTAATATTTTTTTTAAAACTGCAACTTATATAAAGTTCAGTATTTTGTGTTTTGATACCCATGTACATATACTCTAACATACTCAGTCAAAAAAGTTGCTTATTTCTCCCAACCCATCCCAGTTGCTGACATGGTTGGGAGAAGAGGGACAGTGAGCAGAATCTGTGTACAACTTGAGCCAATGAAACTTGTTCTGTGAAGTTACAGAGCACTGGCCAGTGTGTGTAAAATTAATATCTCTTTTCCTCCCTTAGGAATTGAGGCTTCTGACCTACCTAGCCTGCTAGAGCAATTTGAAAAGATTGAAGGTGAGAATTAAACAGGGCAAGTAAACCAAGATGTTGACTTTATGTTTGGTGCCATTAAAATATTTAACTTTTTTTGCCTAAAGGTATCCAAAGGATCAAGGAATACCTTCCAGCTTCAAAGGATTTTTCATTAATTTGTGGCTGAGTTTCAGTCTAGTACTCAGGTCTGATTTGTTTAACCCTAGATTATTAAGTGAGAGTTGCTTGGGTTTGTACCACATGCGAAGCCATAAACTTATTTACAAACCACAATGTGTTTACGCATTGTTTAGGATGCAGGATTATACTTCTTTCTCCTTCCCTCGTCAGATACCTCCCTGGTTTTCTTGTTCTAGCAGTATTTTTGTTTTATCTTTTCAAAGTGCTTTGTGCTCATGATGAATTTGAAGCATTTTTTAAATAATTAAAGCTTAGATGTTTAACAGATCTGTTCCTACTTTATTAGAGTAGCATCACCTTGATTAAGCACCGTGTTTTAGAATCAGATCTTGCCTTAGGGCTACTGCTGTAATATATTTGACTTTTTTTGTTGTCACTGTTTTTCAGCCAAAACAGAAGCATCTACTGTATTAAAGAAAAATAAATCTACAGGGAATAATGGGTAAGCATAGGCCTTTATCCTGTTTCTGTTTGGCAACTTAATACAGGTAGTCCTCAACTTAAAACCACAATTGGGATCAGAATTCCGTTGTTAAGCAAGGTCGTTGTTAAATGAGTCATAGTAAGCATTACGATATTTTTGCCTAAGTTGAAATTAAAGAGTTTTCATTATGTCTTCTGATGTTTTGAAGGACTTTAGTTGGCTTGTGCCAATTAAAGCCCTTCAGAATATCCTAAGTAAACCAAAAGACCCAGCAGCCCCAAAAGAAAACATGAATTATCTACAACATACGGTGTAATGACTGCAACAGCCACTATGTAGGACAAACAAGCAGAAGACCGGCAGAATGCATCCATGAACACCAATTATTCAAAAGACATGATGAAACGTTTTTAATTTCACAACATATGAACAGACCTAACCATAGTTTCAACTGGGAAACTGACCATCCTAGTCCAAGCTAGGTCCAAAAACGCTAGGGAATTTCTAGAAGCCTAGCACTCTGACAAATTAGCCATCAATAGACACATAAACAATATCTACATATTACCCAAAAGAGATTATCATCAAGCCAAACAAGAACAAAAAACCCAAAATACCTCCTACCAGCAATCAGCATCCAGATGAGCCTAGATCCGTGGTGGCGAACCTATGGCACAGGTGCCGCAGGTGGCACGCAGAGCCCTCTCTGTGGGCACGCACGCCATCGCCCCAGTCCTAGGCCTTCAGCTGGGTTTTATAAAACCTTTTCGCTTTAGGCCTCCGCCTCTGTGTGCAAAAAAAAAAAAAAAGAATCTATTTCAACTTCTCAGGGGAAAAAAAAGATCTCGCAAAGTTGGAATTGATTGATTGAACTTTTTAGTCCCACCCAGTCTGCCATTACCACCGCAGCCACACCCACCCAATGGGCCACGCCCACCCGGCATCTGACGATACATAAGTGGGTTTTGGGTTGCAATTTTGGCACTCGGTCTCTAAAAGGTTCGCCATCACTGGCCTAGATTAACTCTTAAGATTAGCATCAGACCAACAATCAAGTAAACAATACCACAATCAAGGACCTGCCAAACAAGCCAACAGGAAACAGCCCAACCAAAGAACCTCTAAGACCACCCCCACCAACATTGACAGGGCAAGCCATTAGAATATAAATTTAGAGCAAATCCCACTCCTTACTAGCACTGATGTTACCTAGTTTGGGTAATAAAATGTCTGTAAGAAAACAACCAAGGTCATAGAGTGTCAAGGACCCCTCAATTCAATCCTGAACTATTCTTCTTTATTGATTGTCAATATACACTGCTTCCCAAGCACCCAAATTTAGATCACATGACAATGGGAGTGCAGTGATGGTTGTAAGTGCAAGGACCTGTTGTAAGTCACTTTTTGGGGCCATTGTAACTTCAAATAGTCACTAAATGAATGGTTGTAAGTCAAGGACCACCTGTAATATTATGTTAGGAAATAGGCAAAACAGGTTAGTCAAAGCTAGGGCATCTTGACTTAAATTTCCTCTTATGCCACTAAGAAGCTCTAGCACTCTTTGTTTTGGTGCTTTATATACTAGGTAGGGAACTGTGGAGAATATTGTTGAGAGGTGGAACTTTGTTTCCTCTTTCAGGTCTGAGTTACAATGGGAAAAGAAAATGGTGGACCGGCTTCATGCACCAGAGCTCATCAATGTTGCAGGTAAAATTCCTTTGGGGAATTCTGAAATGGAAAAACCAACAAATCTCTTTCCTAGGAGTCTTTTGGTCACTGAGAGGATGATAAAGGATTTGTGATGTTTGATACTTTCTTTGGCATAACAAACTTCCTTAAGCACCTTAGTATATTTTTAAGATATCCCATTGAACAGTTCCTGAAGTACATGGAGGGACTTTGAAGAGTTTATCTAAAGCAGGGGTCCCCAGCCCGCGGTCGACGGACCAGCAGCGGTCCGCAGCATGCCAACAACTGGTCCGCACAAACAAGCAAAGCCCCATCTGTGGGATGCAGGCAGCACAGAAAACCACACCCTCTCTGGTCCATGGAAAAACCTTTCTCCATGGAACCGGTCCCTGATCTAAAGAAAGCCTGTTCTGTTATGACTGTGGAGGGAGATAAGATGAAGATATAAAAAGTGGGTATTCATACAGGTTTTGAGAATACTACACAGGTATAGAAAATAGTTTAAATACTTTTATACTGCTTTCCATAGTAGAGGAGGGTGGTTTGCTGGGGATGGCATGAGTCTTTACTAAGCAGTTCTAGTAGAAATAATCTGTTCAGCTCATGATTTTGTGTTTTAATTGATGCTCTATTTCCTTCTTTCCATTTTTATGCAGGTTTGACTCCTCCAGCCACTCCACCCCATCAGCTGTGGAAACCTTTGGTACCTGTCTCATTACCGGGACAGGATGGGTCCCAAAAAGATACCAGGCTTTTGAAATCCCTAAACAAATTCCACTGGAAAGCTGTAACCCCTGTCCACGTAGGCTCTGGTGAGCATGACTATTGTCAACTAACTGTTGCTCAGCCAAAGGGAGGTGCCAGATGGAATATTAAACAGAACTTGGATATTACTATAAAACCTATTAAGACCCTAACAAGACAAGTGCTAGATCAAAAAACCTCTGCTGATATAAAAAGGCCCCCTGCTGCTGTTAGATTGAATCCTGTAGTTCCTACTTGTCAGAATCCTAGAGAATTTGCCAACCATGTTAATTCCAACAAGGGCCAGACCAAAGATTCCAGGACTGTTATTGCTGACTTGAAACCTACTATCCCAAGTTCAACGTTGTTGGAGACCAGTCTTATACATCCATGCAAAGAGGCATTAGACCATCGGACTACTATTCCAAGGTCCATGACTGGGGGCAATGATGATCCATGCTCTGTACTGCTGTCACCGGCTGCATCCCCTTGCCGAGATTCAGGAGAATCAACATTACAGCAACTTCAGGAGATACAGGAGAAACCTCTTGCTTCGAAACGCTCCTTAAGATGCTACCGGAGCAGACAGAGATCAGCTAGTCCGGAAAGCCACAGGGGCAGAAGCCGACGAAACCATGCTAGCCGGTCCTTCAGTTCAAGCTCTGATGGTGACAGTGATACTTCATCATCTTCATCGTCGTCGTCGTCGTCATCCTCTTCTTCGTCACAATCACGTTCTCGGTCTCCACCATCCAAACACTGGCGAAGGTGAGTAATATTTTCCCCTTACATAGATTCAGTATTTCAAGAATTAGGTGTAATTTTTGCTGAAATAATAGCTTTATTTCATGGGGTCCCATGCTCAAGAAGAGATGCTAATTGAACAAAATTAATGTTAAAAAATATTGGTCGTGAATGGTTGACACAAATATGATCTCTGATAGATGTCTATGAAGATTCTCAATCATCCAGGTCATAGTTGTCTCCAAGATGCTTTTCAAAAGTCTAGTTGCCTTTTGAAAAGCACCATTGGGAGGATCTCTGATAGCAATACCAATAGCACTTAGACTTATATACCGCTTCACAATGCTTTATAGCCCTCTTTAAGCAGTTTACAGAGTCAGCCTATTGCCCCCAACAATCTGGCTCCTCTTTTTACCAACCTCAGAAGGATGGAAGGCTGAGTCAAACTTCCAACTGCCAAACTGCTAGCAGCCGGGAGTCAGCAGAAGTTGCCTGCAGTACTGCACTCTAACCCAGGGGTAGTCAACCTTGACTCTTTTATGACTCGTGGACTTCAACTCCCAGAATTCCTGAGCCAGCTTAGCTGGCTCAGGAATTCTGGGAGTTGAAGTCCACGAGTCATAAAAGAGCCAAGGTTGACTACCCCTGCTCTAACCACTGCACCACCAGGGCTCATATGATAGACTCCACTTACGACATTTAAAGAATGTCATAAATTCTTTACACCTTTTGTTAACTGGTTGTTGTTTTAGGAATGGCTATGTGTTTTAGGAAGGACTGCTGTATGTATATTTTAGGAATGGCTGTATGTATGTGTATGTTCTATTGAATAAGTATGCTCATGCTGATTTTCTCTCAGCAATTTAACTTAATTTCTCCTTCTGGAGATAATGTGTAAATTGTTCAGTTTGTCTCTAGCTCTCTTTTGTCTTTATTTTAATTGTCTAAATTTTGTTTTCTTTTGAAAACCACAATTTAGGTTTGATATTCTCTTTCATTGGCTCAATTTGTTTGTTCGTTTATTATTTGTTTATTATTATTCTGAAGGTTTTCTTAACTTTAATTTAGTAAATAATATGCTGAACTATTTTACTGTTACTTGCAACCACCAGCAACTGGCTCAGCGCAATATATTAAGTTACAAACTAAATGAATCACATTATGAGTTAGTATGTGATCTCTCTATTATAGCATGGGAAAATAGTGAGAAACTGTTCCAGAATTGGCAGCTTGAAGATCAATCTTATCAGACTTGCTCATTCTTCTGAATTATCTTATCACTTTTTTCTATAAGTGGAATATAAAAAAACGCAAAAGTCTTGACTTACCCAATATATATCAAGCAAATAAATTTATACTTTCTACTTAGAAAGCTTGATTTCCCAATTTGCAATAGAATGTAGCATCTGAGCATATGCGGCACTTAACAGTATTTCCTCTACTTTAAGAATAAAATAGCTTAAAACTGGTGCACATATGTTTGAAGTGCTGTTAGCAATGTGTTTATTTCTTGCAACGTAATTTGTTTTTGTACTGGGTCACACTATTTGTTCATTTAGCTCTGTAGTGCCTAAACTAACTAGAGATTGAGGTCTTTTGCATCACCTACTACTAATCTTTTTAACTGGAGGTTCTTGGAATGGAACTCGGTCCCTTCTAAGTACAAACCATAGGCTTCTCATAGGGGAACATGTTTGGGTTTCCTCCTCCTTCCAGATGTCGTTCACGGAATTCCAGCTCTTCTTCCACTAAATGGAGCCATTCAAGGGGCAGGTCCCACTCTCCCTCCAATTCCTCTTACAGATCACGATCATCCTCCCGGTCCCCTTCTCCTCACAGAAGGAATAGCTACAGGAAAAGGTGAGAAAATGGCATCGTTCTTTCTCTCCTTGATTCCTAGCTTGTTGAGGCATTGAAATGTGTTAGCAAAGTTTCTGGTTTTGGAACATCCTTGTTATTTTATAGCTCTTTACCTCCAAATCCAAACCCAAATTATTATTTGGGGATGAGATGATATACAGTGAGTGAAACGGATTGGTCTAGAACAGGGGTAGGCAACCTTGGCTCTTTTATGACTTGTGGACTTCAACTTGCAGAATTCTGGGAGTTGAAGTCCATGAGTCATAAAAGAGCCAAGGTTGCCTATCCCTGGTCTAGAATCTACAGTATATTATAATCAAACTATCTTAGAAGCTGAAGTATTGTCTAAGAAATCAAATTAAACATAATTTAGAGTTTCTTCTCTTTTGGGGGGGTATTTTCCCCATTGGTTTATAAAGTTTCAAGCATGCCTGGAAAAAACTTGGCCTTTTATATGATGTTCAACTAGAATTGTTAGCATTTGTTAGCATTTGCCATGCTAATTAAAGTTGGAAGTCCAGCAATGTCTGGAAATTTCTCACTTCTACTTGAAATATTTGGCAAGATATAACGTCATAAACATTATATAAAGATTCTACCTAATGCAAAGTAATAAGTTGTTTTTAAACACTGAGGTTTTTTGGGATGATATTTCTTCCCATAAGTACTTTTTTCATACTAAATTGGTTTTTTTCTCAAATAACCCAGAATACTGTGTTTAACCTAAAATGCATGCAATAGGAAAATCTGTGATTTCTTTTCTCTATGAGCAATTCTTGTACTATCAATTTTTTCATCTAGATACCTAGAATCATTGCTTAGACTTTTTCTTGCAAGCCACCTGGGGCCTGTGTTTGTCTTATTTCTGTTCAAAGATCAAATGGGCCCATGATTGCATTTCCTAAGCAAAGAATCAAAACATTCTTTTCTGTTTACTGCCATTTTATTTTTACAAGAAAGGTTATTAATGAATACTGAATAAAACTGTAATTTTGTCTTTCTGGTTTTTTTTTAAAGCTATAATTCTAGCAGTTCCTATGAACGTTACCAAAGGCAGAAAAACAAATATAAAGAACGTGCAATCGTGAGTATGTTTATTGTACAATAATATTGTGGGAAGAATACGATCTCCATATAAGGCTGTTTTTATTAGTTACTTTTTTTAAAAAAAAAAGTCTGTTTTATGTAGAATTTTCTTCCATAGAAAAGAATTGCAGGATAGCACACTATATAGAAACATTTCTGTATATCAGACATGGATTGAGCAGAATCCATATTGTTTGCTAAATCCAATAGTATTATCCAACTACAATTCAGTTTTAATAATTCAGATTCAATCATAACCTCTGTTTCATTGTGATCCATACCTTAGAAAGGATTAGTTGAGATCATTGTTTACTAAGAATGTGGGTTGGATTGGCTGGCAAGAGAAAAGTGTCCAAATAATAGAACTGTGACTGAATACTGGCCCTGAACTGTGTGCATAGGAGGAACGCCGCGTTGTCTTCATTGGTAAGATCCACAACAGGATGACACGATCAGAGTTGCGACATCGTTTCTCTGTTTTTGGGGACATTGAAGACTGCACACTGCACTTCCGGGAGCATGGGTAAGGGGTAGATCTAACTTTCCTTTGGGCAAGTGTCAAACCTATTGGATAATATTGAGCTAATGGTAAAAGGGAGAGAAAGAAATGTGATTTTCAGAAAAAGCAGCCATTCTTCTCTTTCTTCCCTGCTTATCCTGCATTATGTATATCATGACAGTTATGACTTTTAATGCATAACTGTCCTACTTGATAGGGATAACTTTGGCTTTGTGACTTATCGATACGCTGAAGATGCCTTTGCTGCTATAGAAGGTGGACATGCACTGCTTCGTCCTGATGAACAGCCCTTTGATCTGGGTTTTGGAGGACGTCGACAGTTCTGTAAAAGAAGCTACGCTGACTTAGGTGAGTCCATGGTTGGAGACTGAAGAGTTGAAATGTTGGGCATCCAATTGATACATTTTTGTGCAGAAGATTTGAACAAAAATCTGATACACATCTGGAAAGTGCTCCCTATTGAAAACACAGAAAGTTTGGCTTAAAGTACTGTTTGGTTTGGTTTGCATTGTATATTGTCTTGTAAAGCCTATCTGTGCACTGGTTTAGATATTGTGGTAAATCACATTGCATTGATCCATAAATAATGAGTTACAAATAACACTTTTTATGGCTTCATGTAGCTCATTAAATAAAAACCAGACCACAAAATGACTTAACATGATGTGCAAACCCAATTATAATGAACTAAAGTCTGTGTGGAGTAAGGAACTAACATTTCTAATATGCATATCTGGTTGTTAATTCTGATGTATTATTGTTCTTGTGGTTTCAGATTCCAGCCAAGATGACTTTCAACCTGCCTTTCTGAAAAATAAATACGATGCTCTTGACTTTGACACCTTATTGAAGCAGGCTCAGCAAAGTCTGCGGAGGTAGTGCTAGTTCTCCTGGGCTCAGTTGCCCAGTAGGCATCTGCCTACACCAGCCTTACCTCAGATTGGTTGCAGGGGCAAACAGCCCCCCTCCGGCCCAGCTCCGTATCCAGCATGATTTTTTTAATGAAATACAAACATAAAAAAAAATATTCTGGGTTTTTCCTAAAAGCTATTTAAGGGAAGGACCTTTGTTTAACAAGTGGGATAGGAATGGAAATACATTGACAATTTCTAGTCCACTTAATTGCTATGCAGACAATAAAATTCCAACTACAGACTTAACAAAACTATGGCTGTTTCTCACTCTTTCACTACAAGGATGAATTTTAATATTTGTTTCTCAGAGTTTCTTAGACCAAAAAAAAAAAAAAAGACAGCCAATGGCCAGTATTCAGAAGGTAGGGGTGGAGGGAGATGGCAACAATAGAGCAATTACAAGCTGCATTCATTATTTAAAGGATCATAAGCTTTACATGGTTGTGAATGAAACAGGCAGAGAACATTTTGAGTTTCTTGGATAGCTTAGCACAGTGGTGGCGAACCTGTGCCACGGGTGCCAGAGGCGGCACTCAGAGCCCTCCCTGTGGGCACACGTGCTGTTGCCCCAGCCTTGCCTCCCCCCGTGACCCCCTCACCAGCAACCCCCCTACAGAAGAGTTGCCCCCGAGCGTGGCCCAAGCAGCGCAGCACAGCCAAGGACATGGCAGCCAGGCAGTGTAGACAAGACACTGACCTCACGCCCCAACATGCACAGTTGATGCTGCAGGGCGCGGGCAGAGGGCATGGCTGCCATGGTGCTGCTGGGCTGCCTGGGCGATCTGCGATGGGCCCTGGAGGCGTTGAGTGGCCCTGTGGGCAGGCAGGGTGGAGCGGAGTGGGGGCGGGGCAGGGGCGGGGCCAGTTTTTGGGCACTCAGTCTCTAAAAGGTTCGCCATCACTGGCTTAGCTGCTTTGTTCTCTTACTAAGAATCCCTGCCTAAACCTTTCAGTTTATTCTTCTTTCATCTTTATGAATCTCTATAGCAAACAATGAAAATTCTCCTTTTATCTTGATTAACAAATTCTACAAAAAGGTTACGGTTAAAGAGGTGAATAAAGTTGTGTACTAAACATTATATTACCATTTTATGCAAAAATAATTGCATATTCTGATTTTCCTAGTGATTTGCAAAAACAAGGAATTATTCATGCCACTGAGCCCTTATCCCGAGCATCTTACTCTGGTTGACTATGCTGTCTGAAATCTCATTTGATTTTGCTGGCTGAAAGTCCAAATGAAACTAAAATCATATGCAAAACAGATTTGAAAATGTTAAAGAAAATGTGTTGTCTGCTAGAAGTAAATAGTACAATATGGGCATTTGGGGGGGGAGAGGGAGAGGGAGATAGCAGCAAAGGACAGAACAGCAACTCACAGCCTGATAATTTTGCTCATAACCTATTTTGCCTTAGCTGTTTGCAAAAGCTCAGGCAAAGTGATGACTGTTCTACTTGGATACTTACAGTAGGTTTTCAGAGATGCTGTTTCTATGGGAGATATTCTACCTTGATGCATGTGAGCAAATAGGGTTGCCTTTTGCCACTTGATGGTATTAGGCATAAATCAAAACACACTGAAGCCAGAAAAAAAAAGATTTATTATTTACTACTGCTACTACCATGGAAAGACAATATTCTCAACTAATGAACGTCTACCTACCTCTTTTTTGGTGTGTATATGGAATTGCCCACCACTTTGTTTTGAAGTGACTGTTTACAAGGCTTAGAAAGTGGATTTTATAGTATGAATAGAGTCTGGTTTCATATTACAAGATTTATGCCACAGTATTTTATTATTGCATTTTTCCAGTAAGAAATACAGAATTGAAGCATGTTATACACGTAATTTAAGGATTATAGTGGAGACTAAAACTCAGCAGTCCAGTCCACCTATCCCAGATATAAACATAAAGCTATGCAACTACATCTCTAATAACTCCAACAGCAGATGTTTATAGGAGTACTGTTTAATTGATTGAAACAGATGATAAGCCAAAAGTTCAATCATTGTCAGTTCAGACAATAGGGATCCTGGATTGCTTCAAGAAAGTTCCTTGTGATAATCATTCAGAAAATATATAAATGTCTAGAACAGGGGTCTTCAAATTTGGCCCTTTTATGACACGTGGACTTCAACTCCCAGCGTGCCTGGCTGAGGAATTCTGGGAGTTGAAGTCCACAAGTCATAAAAGGGCCAGGTTTGAAGACCCCTGGTCTAGAAAGTCATGGTGCCATCTAGTAATGGAATGTAGAAATAAAAAATCCTCAGTCTTCAGCAAATGCATTCCTGTTTGGTACATCCACTCCCACGTTAGTCCATTTCATTATTCTTCACATAGTTTTCTATGTTCTCATTCTTTTGACCAAGTGCCAGGGTTTGGGGGCCTATAAGTCTACTCTTTGCCAGGATGCTTCCTCTCCCCTCCACCCTTTGCCAAATTTTCCATGTCTCCCAGTGGCACTTGTCAGCCTGCTGTGATAGCATCAATGTGTGGCTGCTGCTTTTTTACACACAGGCACACTGGCTGAGGAATTCTGGGAATTAAAATCCACAAGTCATAAAAGGGCCAAGTTTGAAGACCCCTGGTATAGAAGGCACAGATAGCCGAAAGATAGTATTTCCTGTTTAAAAATTAAAAACAAACTCTTGCCAAAGAATTCAAATTTCTTGGATATCAATTGTGGCATTTTCACAAAGGGGTTAGAATTGCTAATGAGTTAATGACAACTTTTGTTCTCTTTTCAGGATAATAGTTGTGCTTATTTTCAGGATAGTAGTTGGTGTGAACTTTGTCACTTCCAAAGGTCCAAGGAGTTGCTAAAAAATTCTAGTATATATGAGGGGAGTGACAAACAGCAGTTAATGAGTAATATTGCCATGGGTGGAAAGGTTTAAGTAGACCTGTTGCAAGTGGAGATAGAAAACAAATTATTTATTAGTTCAAAGCTATAGCAGTAGCCTTACTTATAGACCAGTGTTTCTCAACCTTGACAAATTTTAAGGCATGTGGACTTCAACTCCCAGAATTCCACAGCCAGTGGAATTCTGGGAGTTGAAGTCCACATGCCTTAAAATTGTCAAGGTTGAGAAACACTGTTATAGACAGACATGAATAGAATCAAGTGGTGCTTGAAAGTGATGCTTGAAAGATTTGAAACACTTGAATTGTCAATATTTTTGCATAAGTATAACTTAAAACAATCTGTTTTCCACATAACTTCATAAAATTAGATATGAGTAAAAATGTTATACTTGTTTATTTAGGGAAAAGATCCAAATAGTATTTCTGGTCTACATTTCCTGTGTATACAGAATTCTTAGAGTCAAGTTATTTTCTGTTTTTTCCCCCTTCAATGTTGAAGTAACATGAACTGCTAGGTTTAGTTCTTCACTGCCAAAAGGTTACACTTTGGGATGGATCGTTTGAGTAACAAAACTTCAGTTACTTTTGTGTAAGTGTTGAAGCATATGGTGGAGGTTTTAATTTGAAATCAGTAAAGGTATATTGTAAGGGATTATTTTTTACTAGCATGCAGGTATCTAAAACATGCAAAGATGAAGATAGACTCTGTCAACTAGAATAATCTGATTTGAAATTTCAGTTTTTTCATGAGATGGGAAATCATTAGATGCAAATGCTGACCTGTTTGGGCTAGTAGTTACATTTGAATGCTTCTATAAAATGGCTGATTTGGGAATATGCTTTGTCACAAGATAGAAGTACTATGAAAGACAATTATTGAAACTATATAACAGGTCACTTCATGTTCTAGAAGACATTCTAAATAGGTATAAGTAATGTCTAATCATCACTATAACATGGCACAATTCAGACCCATAGTTAATTTTACAATTATCCACATTTCTAGGAAACTAGATCCAATTTTAAGAAAGATAACCATGTCAATTTTATGGAACCAACAAAGTTGTCTGACTTAAAAAAAGAAGCAAATAATTGAAATATGAGACTATTGTTTTTTCTTAAGTTTCCACAGAAATGGAAATATGGCCATTTTACCTTTAATCATCGTATCACCACATTCCTGGATTACCCAGCCATTCTCTCCACCACCTCATTCACTCCAACTATGGGTTGTGATCAATCTTGCTGCCCTCTTAGGCCTCCATTATGCAGTAATGATACAGTACACTGAATTTTTAAGGGCTCTTTTTTACTAGCTGGAAACGTGTCAGGGTGAAGCAGTGACTTCCTGTCAGCTGCTATTTTTACTTGTAAAAATGTCTAATAATATAATCAGATGCATTTCAGAGTTTATAGTGGAAATTTGGAGACCATCCTTTGATTTGAAATGTCACCGGCTGCAAAAATACATTTCCTTATCATTTTTAAAACAGTAAGAGGCTCTTTCTGCTAGGTTCAGGATTTCAATTGGAATAAATGTAATATTTGTATTGGACTGAATTGTACCAATTCAATTTTGTTGAAGTAATTTCTGTCTACATTTGAGACATTGATATTCTATTTGTTAAGTGAGTTTTGCCCCATTTTATGATCTTTTTTGCCACAGTTGTTAAGTGAATCACTGCAGGTATTAAGTTAGTAACATGGTTGTTAAGTGAATCTGGCTTCCCCATTGACTTTGCTTATCAGAAGGTTGCAAAAGGGGATCACATGACTCCAGGATACTGCAACAGTCATAAATGTGAGTCAGTTGTGAAGCATCTGAATATAAATCACGTGACCATGGGGATGCTGCAACAGTCATAAGTGAAAAACGGCCATAAGTCACTTTTTTCAGTGCTGTTGTGACTTTGAACGGTCACTAAGCGAACTGTTGTAAGACAAGGACTAGCTGTACTTTCCAGTGCTGTGTTTCTATTCTAAACTTCCAATTGAAGATGAAACAGTTTTGATGTGTTTCCATATACAGGTAGTCCTTGACTTACAACACTTAATTTAGTGACCGTTCAAAGTTACAATAGCACTGAAAAAAGTGACTTATGACCATTTTTCACACTTACAACTATTGCACATCCCCATGCTTACGTGATCAAGATTTACACGTGTAGAAGGAAAAGTCTTCATCAGGGTCCAGTCCAAGCCGGGAATAAACAACATGGCGACTGCTTTAGAAAGAAGGTTGCAGTTTATTGAAGAGGAGAGCCAGACAGAAAAATGGCTCTGGAAGAAAAGAGAGAGCACATGTAGTAGGGAGTGGGTTTTATACCCTCTTGGGCTTTTGTTTGGAGTTGTTTCCTGTTCCTGTTTGAGGTTTT